TGTATACTCACTACTTTACATTGTAGCAAAGTGTCATTTCTTCAGTGTTGTCACATGAAAAGATATAATAAAATATTTACAAAATGTGAGGGCTGTACTCCTGTGATATACTGTACTTTAACCATAGACAAAGATGTCCACTGACTTCACCTGATGGAAAGGGTCTGTTGCTTTGGGTCTTTGGTGGTAAATTACTAGGCTGTAATGTCACTGGACTTGCCAGAAAAGCAGAGACTGTTGGCCTTTAACTTCCAGTTGGTGGCAGTACAACTTTTTTAGCAATAGATTAATACCATGAGGCATCAGGTAAGTCACCGTTGATCCCATTGCTTTTTGTCAACATTAAGATCAGCAGACTTGATCTAATTGCAGGAGGTGGATTTCTTTAATAAACGTTGCCTTTAGTACTCTCTAACCTTTCTCACTGCACCACCTCAGTATGGAAATTGTCTTTCCCAAAATCCATATGGGGAATTCATACTGCAACACTTCTAAAATCAATCCATCTTGTGCAAATTTAACTGCACCACACCCACAAGAAGAGATAATGAGCAAACTTGGTAATCCTAAGACTTGTAGGCCCTACAAAAATATCAGGGTAAAAAAGTGAAATCCCATTGAGCCTATGGAACCCTTTGTGTTGCCTAAAACACTTCTTTGGATTCTATTCAGTAAGCAGAGCATCTCTGAGTTGTTTCGAACCATTTTTTTCTTCATGTCCTCTTCCAAGTCTATCTCACAATGTGCTGTTCATTCTGTTAACGGTGTCCTCTTTTGTCACTTTTATACAACTAGAAACAGTTAATACCATTCAAACAAAGCTCAGTTTTCTTATAAAAAGGCTGTGGTAAACAAATATGTTATAAGACCTTTCTAAAGTACTGTAACAAAGGATCCTTCCAGATCCCAGTTGAAGATCTTCCTGCAGCTGTGGAAATATCACTGAAAAAGACTTATCTCTCATGACTGCTAACCTTTTGTGTGTTTTTAATTGGTAGGCACACAATCATTCCAAACCTTAAACTTTCAGCATGCAGGCTGAAAGGTGTAAATAAAGTCCTTTGACTAACATGGTCTCAAACAAATTAAGGTAGGTTTTAAAAGTTTAAAGTCAGCATGTTAAATGGGATACAATCCTATGCACAACTACCTGGGAAAATAAGATCCTACTGAATGTCTTGGAGCTTCTGTGTTGATATGCATTGATTTTTAATTGTAGAAGACATCTCACATCATCCTTAGCCAGCATAGCCATTCCAAAACTCTGAATTGATGGGTGATTATGAAGACTATACAGGAGAAAACTCTCAGTGTTAATATATACTAGACATTAATAGGCAATTGACCTCTGA